GTTTCTTTTTTGCTCTGTTTATATTTAGGTTCTGTTTGGCTTCAAGAAATTTAAAGATAGGAGCATGCGGGATTTGAGTTGTTGCAGGCGAGGAGCATGCGGGATTTGAGGCGACGGCGGTCCACTCGGGCGTAGGGGAGGGAGAGGAGTTTGGAGTTGGCGTCGTTGATGAAAATACAGAGCAAATACCGAGTAGTACCTAGCAATACCGAGTAGTACCTAGCAATACCGAGCAAATACCGAGCAATACGCGAACATAGTAATCCCGGATTCGTTTCGGGTTGGGTCGTCAGGCCGCGTGGTAAAGAGTAAGAGCACGTAGCGATATATTATAGGCTACCTGATGTATCTCTACGTCAAGTAACCTGAGGCAATAAAAATTCCTCCATATGAGCCTGAAAAGAAAATTTGAGTATTTTCAATTAGTGCATTAAAGGTAAAAAGATTTCCAAAATATTTTTTTGTGGACACATAACTGTAAAATAAGTATTTTCAAACGGAACTCTTTTATAAGCTAAATCCAACTTAGTCAAAGCTGGTCTTCAAATTCACCCTTACACTCTATTTCACAAAAATTAAACGTGCATCACATGTTTTTGATAAGATCCATAACAGAACTCTTCGATATGTTCTGGCATTTTAATGCGACGAACTCTTTAAACGTGAAGCCAGGAAATACGGCAGGGCTATTGGAACCTTCAACCAGTCCGGGCGCAGGAGCAATAATATTTTCTAAAGGTGGCGACAGTGAAGTCCCGACTGAAATCCTTGTGCTTTCATTGCTAACCATGACCCTATGACATATGCTCTTATACCTGCCGTTGCTAACAATCTGTTGCAGTATGTCAAAGAAAATAATAATGTGCCATCTAGCTATCAGTTCTTGATATATATATATAGTTTAAAATATATTTTTATTTTTATTAAATACTAAATAAATTGGTTTATGTGATGATAATGGCAGTTGTCGGTGAAGCAGCGGTGGTCGGCGAAGGAAACTAGAACGACTAACTGCGGTGAACGACGGTGATTGGAGGTGGTGCAAGAGATGGTAGTTGGCAGTTGACAATAAAGTTCGACGATGGTGGTTGGTGACTTGGGTTGATGGGTAGCATCTAAAGTTTAAAGTGATGGTTGGTGATGGCCAACAATGATGGAATGTTATGATCGTGATAATTGTTTTTAAAAGTAGTCAAAATAGTTTTTATGCAAATAATTTATATTTTTTAAATAAATTAAAAAATTACTTTAAAAAATGCGAAAGAGAAAAGCAAAAGTAACCCAAAGTAGCTGTTTGGGATCAGTTTTTATTTTTTTTTCTTTAAAATTATTTTTTATTTTTAAAAGCAAATCAAAGTAAATTTTAAAATACCGAAAATAATTTTAGGTGTTTCTATAATTTTTTTAAAATGAAAATTGCACTGACTATTGCCCCACTGTCATGAACAAATAATCATGCAGCAGCTACTATCGCTGTATATTATCACCATCTTATGTAATATTCAATTAAAATAAAAAATATATACTTTGCATATGTTAGCAAATATATTTTGGGGGGATTTACATACATATCATCTTATATTATTCTATTTATATATTTAATATCTAAAATTTTAATGTTACATACATATCACTTAAATATATAATTCAATTTTATATTAAATATGAGTGATATAAATAAAATATATGGATGGAAGGAATGAAATATGACTGACATATTTGATATTAAAATAATATAATATGATATGTATGTAATATTAAATATTTGGGTGTTAGGTATATAAATAGAATGATATAAAATGATATGTATAGAAATCCCCTTATTTTGTCTCACATTAAAATATAAATAAAAAAAAAATTATCTTAATTGAGAGTGCAAGAATTCACCTCCAGAAAATCTCCTGTTAGAATGAGGAGCGAGTCAGTGACGAGCTGTGTTACAACCCATCTTCCATTGTGAAGCACTTGGAGGCCATGGAAGGCGTTGTTTTGCATGAGAAGAGTGAGTAGGCAGGGATCAGAGTGAGGAGGCATCCCCAAGACCAGCTCTGGCTGTGGGCATGGAGGATACAGATTTCCTACCAGAATTTGGTTGCTTGATTTCAGCCCTAAAGACTCTTCCATGAAACTTACTTCCAGCTCCAGGCTTTGCCATATCGCTCTCAGCAATTCACTCAAGATCTCTCTGCTCTGCCGACAAAACTCTTCAGATATTTTTCTGTGTATGCGAAGAAAAACAAATTTTGATGTGATGATGCCCAAATGCCCAATAGAAAGTAAAATAGTTAGTTCATTCAAACAAAACCTGAAACCAGAAGGTTTGGCTGGGGAGTTGAACTCCGGGTGGAGATGGATCCTGAGAAAATCTCTCCAATATCGCTCTTCCTTCATCGTCAAGCTATAACTTGTTCCATGACTCACCCTGTCAAAGACGTTCTTTATATTATAAACTTGTTTCTCCTCTGTTGTTAGATCGAAGAACTCTGCAAACGCTTCAATCATGGCCGTCCGTAAGCTCTCCGGCATGCCGTGGTTGAGAAGCTGAATCCATTTTT